CAGTGAGGTTGAGGACGCCCCTGTAATGGCTGTTTTTAAAGAACATTAGACAAATGTCTGCCAGTAACACTGTGTAACTGATCCAATACAGAGCAGGGGTGTAGATTAGATGACCTCTTAAGCTCCTTTCCAACACATCTCCATGAAGTTCTGACTGAAAAAAGCCCAACACAAATATTTATCAGACCTTTTTTTTATTCACATAGTTGGTTACTTTATGATTCTGTGAAAGAGCAATGAACTGGAAGGAACTGACAGAAAATGTTTTAATTTGGCAGTTTAACAGAAAAAAAATATTTGCACTTATTTTGATGTCTGTTCCTGGCAAAAAACACAAATGAGAAACTGCCAAAATATCTTTTAGACAAATTCAGCCAAGTAATTCTCTTTCAATATGAGACATATGATTAGGTCTACAGCCAATCCCTGAAGTCTTTACTTGTATCTTTCACACTGCCACTTTGAAAATCTATTTTGGTACTGTATACACAGAGACAGGCAGATACGTACATCCACTTTCTTTGAGCAAACTGAGAAAAATATGACTAAAATTTTATTATTCTGGTGCATAAAAATGCAAAGTTACAGTTAGCATCATTAAAGAAATCCAGAATAAGGACAATGGTCATATCTATTTATTAGGTTTATTAACTACTTCCAGCTGACAGCTAAAACTGTAGTCATACAGAATTACTGGAAGCACCATTAGATTACACTTATCTTTGAAGTTGGGAACTGCACATCAAGTGGTCACAAAAAAGTAAATATCAGCCTCTGTTTTGACTTTTCTTCAGAAACAGGGTAGACAAAGCCTTGGCAACTCTGGCTACAGAGTTACTTCAACCGCTTTATTTCCAGCCCTTGTGTGGGTGCTGGAGAGGAGAGTCAACCTCACAGGCATCTTGCACTCTTTGGGATGGAAAGGCTGGGATGCCTCATCACCTTACATGCATCAGATGGAAGAAAAGCCTCTATTCAATGCACATTCATAATAGCCAGGAAAACATAACCTTGAGCACAGGTGTGATTCTCTGCAACAGTCAGAGAGATGGACTTTCTTCTCACTTCCATAAAGTAAAGGACATTCAAACACTGGTAAGATAAGACTTGAGTGCCACATTGGGTGATACCCAGATGTACTGAAATTCCAAACATAAAACCAATGCCAAAAATACCCCAATCTTTTAGTTCTGTTTTCCAAGTAAAGAAATCTCTAACCTTTGCTTAGAGAAGAGGTTTTGAAAAATTATGGCTCTTTAAAGACTCTGTTACTAAGAAGTATTATGTCACAGATGGTGGCTTGAAAACAGGTATTTACAGCTATTTTTTTTCCCTAAGGCTTAAAGTTGTCAGGAAATGATCCAAGTTACTTAAAGTATTACAATAATGCCTTAATCACTTGCACTCCTTTTCTTCCTATCGTCATCATCAGCAAAACCAAAAGCAGGCATAACTCAATTTTCTCCCGAGAATCTCACAAAACTGTTTGAACATTCTTATTTAATCTATATATTCCAATCATATTTTATTGCTTCTTCAGGTTCTCCTTTTAACATCTTTTGCCTAACTTGTTTTCAAAATTGTAACTTTATGCCTTTCATTTGCCTTTGACTATATTCCAGTTTTGATTAATACCTTCACATTCAAAAGTCTTTGAACTGTTATTTAGGTAAGAAGTTGCTTTGAACTCCTGAATTTCAAGTGTAAACTTATTTGGCATCATAATGTATTAGCACTTAGAATTGCAATGAAATAAGAAGCAGCCTTACTATTTGGACTGCTAATAACTGTTAGGTCATCTGTTAATCCTTTCTTCATTTTAAAAAAGCGAGTAAAATTGTACTTAAAATATAGCAGTACTAAGCATGTTCTTAAGAGGCAGGATGCTAACTGATAGAGTTCAGTAAGGTTGTAAACAACTGTTACGCTGCACAAACGATTTGAAATCTCAGAATCCCTTTCTTCTACAACCCATGCCAGGAACAATAAGAATTAAGTGTGCTGAAACTTAATATTTTGGAACTGCTCTGGTGTGGGCGTAAGGCAAAAGCAAGAGGTTTTTGACAAATTCAGGACAAGTAGTTTGCATACAAATGAACAATTTGTTCTTGAAAATATTCTTTCCATCTTGTTTTACTATTAAGCACAGTCAGGGATAATTGTTAGTAAAAATTTTGATGATTATCATGAAAATTTTGGCAGTGAAAACCAGTGAGAACTTACTGTGGGAGGATGTTGGCCCTTCCAACTTTCTGGTCAACATCCAGTAGCAACTGCAAAAAATAACCCCAAAAAATTAAGTCCCAGGCTTTTACCCTACATATGGCAAAAGACATATGTATTTTTAGGATTTTTAGGATATCACACTGCATAGTCTCACTCATATTACTAGTACTGAGCTCTACGTGGTAGAATGTGTAGACTCAAAATTTTAGGAAGCTCCATTAGGTAGAACAAAGAATAAATTTTAGGATGAATCTTCAACATATGACTTTTTAGTGCTTCTAGCAATGTCAGATATTTTGGAATACCCTTGCACAGGAACTGATTTTTTTTCCTGGCCACAGTTTTATCTCTACTTATACTAGATTTTTGCATTATCAGATACTAACTTGATTTTGTTCAATATCAATATGCATTGCTGCTGTACTGGTCAAAGCATACAGTATAGCATTTATATAATCTTTCTTCTCTTATAGGGGTTTCAAGTAGGAGGAAAATAGACACCTGACCCAACAAAAGGCTGCTCATACAAACATAGTAATGACATAGTAATGATAGTGTACCAAATTAATGCTTTGCATCACGTGGCTTTGGCATTTCCAGTCCTAGATCAAGAGCTCTGAAGTAAGATTTACTGTATTGTCAAGCCATGGCCTGAGGGTTTTAAGCAGCTTGATTAGAAGATTCATACTGTCACATACTAGGATCTGTTGAGTGCAATGAAAGGTTAGTATTTCACACAATGATTTGCAAACCTTCAGCTGAAATTCAGTAGGTTTTGGTTTTCTCACTTTCCTTTTTTTTTCTTTTTGTTTTCTTTTTTTTTTCCTTTTCCTCTCCAGGAAGTGGATTGTGTGTATTTTTACTCCAAGTTTCACTAGGCCATTTGCAATTGATACCACAGCAACTTCTGGTCAACATATCATACATCCTTTTCTAAGAAAACAGAAACATACTAGCTCATACTAAACTTGTTCCTACTATGTCTAGAGTAAAAATACTAAATCTTTATGTTCAAGATAAAATTTTAGTGAAATAAGAATTATAAATAGGGACAGATCTCTGAATGCTTCATATAAAGAAAATTGAAACTAGAAGTTGTAGTCAGATATTTCACCCCTTTATAAATGGTGTAGTTCTGCTTCAGGATAAAAGTGGATCTCAGAAAAGGATATTCAAGTAAGAAAAATAGCTTGATTCAGTCAGGTCCAGATAGAAGGAAGGTTGTTTCTAAATAAAAAAATGCAAGCTGCCTTTCAGGACTCAGTCTTGTCTAGCACTGAATGTTCCCCCAGTCCTGCTTACTGTTAGATGCTACAGATTCCTACAGATGTTACAGAAACATGCTGCTAAAATTAACGTGAGATTTTACCATTGTGGTATTTTTACTATTTTTTAAATTTAGGTTTTTATTTTCTCCATTTTTGGTAAGGTATTTAGGTGAAGTATCAGGACTATAACTGTTAATAAACAATATTTTATTCTGCCCCTTCCCCCAGTTCCTTCCAAAAAGTAATTTTTCTGAATGAAAATCTATCCCATTTGACATGGGAAGTGTGACTGCTGTCAAGTGTCAGGGTACCAAATTATTTCCCCTCTTATCTATTTTCAATCTTCTCTTTCCATTTGCTTTACTTACAATGTAAGATATGCTGCATATTCTGGGAAACAGATTCTTGGAGATGCAATGCAAAAATTAATGCTTAGACTAGATGCATTATTTAAAAATATTTGTTGGACTTAGCAGTAATTAACAGTTTTTGACTTAGCAATTATTAACAGTTTTACCAAGTATACTATTTTGGCCATGTCATATTACAGTTAGACATTTAAAAGCATATACCCACTCTAAAATGTAATTTGGTATTTTTTTTTCTGTAAGTGAGCACCTTCATTAAAAAAAATTATAGGGTTTCCCACCATGTTTTGAAGATCTACAGGGGAAGGCATGCTTGTAAGTTGCAAATCTTAGGGCTGTGAGATATCACCAAATACAAACCAAATACCCTTCACAGATAAAGCCTTAAACTAAATAGTGGTGCAAATAAGAAGCCAACACAGTCTTTAGAATAGTCACATGAAGCAGTCTGACTGTCTAATAAGCTGCCTGGCTGGCCAAGAATACCACTAGAAAAAAAAAAAATCACACTTCAAAGAACCAGGAGGGTGTCTTCAACAAGTCAGAAATTGGTTTTTGACCTTTCTGACTCATGTAAGCTTTCAGGATTCCCACCTGTGGTTTCTTTTCTAAATGATTTGATGATAAAAAGATAATATTTTTTCTTCTTTTGAATTGAAGAAACTCCTCCCTTTTTGTATTGGCTATAATACTGCTGAAGCCAGCTCTGTCTAGTATCACCCTTTCTGGGGTAGAAATAAGAACTGTGTCTGCTGCATTTCTCTGCATTGCATTTCCTACAATATTAACAGCCTGAGTAGCAGAAATCTTAATTGTAATTGCACATCAATATATAGTTACTGCAAAATGAACACTATAACCAGTTTAATGTTTGGGGGGGGGGGGGGGTGCAGCTGGGATTAGATAAATTCGGCATAAGTAATGGTTTGTTTTTTTAAAGAAATAAGATGTGAAGTTTAAAATGCAGCATTGACTGAAGTTGATATTTTCAAAATGAAAGTTAAAGTTTGAAGACTGCCATTTTCAACAGCTGGGACAGAGGCCTGGTTTTTGAAAGTACTGTCAGTCATGACTCTTTTAAATGGGCACCACCAATCTGTATTTAAAAAATCAGAAATAACTGGCCGGACTCATAATCTTGGATTTAGTTCATTTAGGGGTTTATTTTTGCTTTAATGCAAAATGCCAATAAAAGCAAAACTCAGGAATAACCATCATTGTAGCCTGTTTTTAATTATATGGAACATGCTAACTGAGTCTTCAAAAAGTACTAAGGTATCTTAAGCAAAGCCTATGTGGTACTCAGGTCAGAGGATCTCCATATGCTTAAGACGCTTAACACTTCACAAAACTAAACATCTGGAAGTGTCCTGCTGTAGAAATAGATTAAAACATAAATTGGAAAGAAAATGCAAGTAATAATAAACACCAGAACTTAGACTCATTTGGAACAAAATGACTGAGCAAAAGATTGGAATCCATAACTGAGATAAAACTAGCGGGTGACTTGTTAAAACCCCCCACAGGATGCTAAGCAATTTTTTTTTTCACAATCCTTCATTTTTATTGAGAACAAGATAACCTTCTTCCTCAATTTGTGATCTCCCTGCAAATAATCAAGAAGATTACAACTTCTTTCTGTTTTTAACTTTCATCCTGCTGGGAAACTCTGAAACACTTTCAGCGGGTTGTCCAGACAGTACTAGTCATTATGTATAAGAAGAAACGCTGCTGAAGTAGTATGTATGAGAAATGGAAAACAATTTTGATGGTAGAAGCTTAAAAATCATACAGAATATTGCTGAAAGTGCAATACAAAGTAGTACTGAGAAAATTTGTGAAGCTGTGGAAACAGAGTAAAAAAACTCAGTTTTTGATTCTAGGAAGTATTTTGTGCACTGCTGAACAATGTAAATAATGTTTTCCTGTACTGTAAAGCTCTGTTTTGTCTTACATTTTTGTAATACTTCCCTAAAAAACTGCTGTCTCCTTTTATCTGTGGTATCTAAGTGGACCTATGGGGAAAATTTCTTTTGATAGGACTCCCCACTTCATTTTCTGTGATGCAACAACATGTGTGGGTCTGCTCTGATTCACTTTTCTCCTCCCCCCAGACTCAGATTTTTGGCCAACAGCTTCAACATATCCTTCCCTTCTATCCTTTGGTGTACTGGGTGCATTTATTGTCAAGAGTCTGGAAGGCATCAGTGGGATATCAGCTCATCCCCATATGTTTTTAGTGTGGCTTGAAAATTCACTAGGATCATTCTGGCTGCAAGTATTTTCAGGGGGAAATTTACTGGTTTGCTGAGACACAAATGCAAGGAAAATCTAATTTGAATTTGAAAAATATAAGATGAAAAAGATACATTTCATAGCTGGATCCTTTTTAACCTCTATTTTGCAGCATTTTATTTATATTTTTAAGTGCTTAAGAGGAAAATATGTTTGTTATCTAGACAATTCATATGCAAAAACTTCAATTTTTAAAAGAAAAATCAAATACTTTTCTAAACTGCAGGGATCAACTTCTATGCTAATTATTATTAAGAAAACACTTATGTCAGGATGGCAAAACTTTAAATTGAATATGGCTCCAGAATACTTCTGATATTTAAAATGCCCTATTGAGTGCTTATGACTGTGGCATAGTACAGCAAAAGCAGCTTCAGTGTATTGTGAATAAACCCAAATACAGCTCCCAGTGTAGTTCACAGAAAACCTCCCACTTACATTACTGAGAGCAGAAGCAGGCAGTCCTAAATTAGTAATAGCTGGTGTGTCATTAGATTTATTTTCTGCAGCCTAGGACCACTTCTATGTGCCATGATTCATTGCAGGTTCCAATGTAAATTATGAATCCAGGAGAAACTGGTACTTATACACTGCAAGTTGCAATGACTAGAATTTGTGTTCTGCATCTTGTTCTTTCTCTTAACTATGGACATTAGGTTAACAGCAAAAATATTGTTTCAATTCCCATCTCCTGCACTTGTTTTATCAACATCCAGTATTGTTCCTCCATTGCACAGAAACTTTCTCCCATCTCTAACCTGTAATAACCTAAAATTCAAAAATTAGATTCTCCTTTCTTCAGCCTTCCCCTGTGCTCAGTTAGAGAGTTTTGTTACCAAAGTGTTGAATTCAACCCTAGATCTGGCCAAGTTCAGTGCAGAGTGAAGTGATTTCTGTTTCTTGTTCTGCATCTCACTGTGACAATAATGAAGCATGGGTTGGTATGGTTTTCAGAGAGCTGACCTTGCATCAAAATCTGTTCCCATTAAGCACAATTCCCAATGAAATTCAAAGCACAATTAATGACCACAGAATTTTGCCAAAAGCAGTAAGAACTAAACTAAATGAGACAGTGTTGATTATGCAAATAAACAGCCACCCTGGAAAGCTTTTCTATTGTCTAAAACTATGCATTTCTAGGATTATTTATGTTATGATAGTGATCAACACTGGAATTTTATTATGCTAGATCCTATATAAACACAAATTACAGGATTGCAATGTGATTTGATATAAGATTCAATAAGTAAGAAACCACAGAAAAGGATCTCAGGTCTGAGGAAATTTTGTATATATCCAGTTTATTCATTATCTAACAATATTTATAGTCTTTAAAATTTTGTCTCTAGTAATTGAAGGACAACTTGAAATTGAAAATAGATAACTCAGTTCTGGCAATTAAATTAAAAGGTTTGCCATGTGAAAGCTGTTGATACTGAAAGTATATTTATTTTATTAAGGAAAGCATGAACTTTTTATTGGATGCCAAAGTAGGGCATACAGCACATTTCAGTGGATTACACTTTTGCACCAAAGTCTTTAGCAAAACTAGAAAATCTTGCACAAAATATTCAATTTTTAGTTGTAAATTACTGAAATGTGCACAGGGATTACAGATTTGGTGTCTCAAAAGACATACCACTGAAGGAACCATAAAGCAGGAGAACAGGTGTTTCACCTTGGAAAGAAGTCTTATCGTTTATAAAAATGATAAATGCAAAAGCCAGTTCTGAGTCTCAATCTGTTATCTCTTCTACTCTCTGGTTTGCATATGTATCTATTTACTCATTTAAAAAGTAATTTCTGTCTTAACCAAAAACCAGAAACTTGAAGTGGAAATGGTTTACTGGTTATATAAGAGATACAGTTAAATTCTCCAAGTTCAAAAAGCTGTTTAATGCACAAAATAATCTGAAAAATGCTGTTTAAGAAACTACATTCCTGCAGATGCAGAAAACTTACAGTTCAGTCCCAAGATAAGGCCACGCCAATGAGAGAAACAGACAACCAAGCTGCCAGTAAGAAATACAAAATTTGAGTGATACTCATCACAGCAGTAAGTTACACAAAAGGATCTTTGATCAGAGGACTAATGGTAAAATAATTATAGCTTCCCTTTAAATGCTATGGGCCAGCAGATCTGACCCTTGCTATATGTAGTGAGCTCTGTATTGTTGGAATCCTAAATTCTTCAGCAACATCATGAGCTAGACTGAAATACTGTAACAGGCCTTGAGTTTACTCCTAAAGCATCCACATACTATGCCTGCACTGACTGCCTGCCATCACTCTGTCCAGTGGTGGTGAATATACATCACCACTACATTTTTTAAATATGTTGCACTACAGTGTTTTACTCTGTACACCTAAAAGGCCAGACAACAGATTGGAGTTTCTCTCAGGGAACATTAGCTTCACCTTACTTTTTTTTTTTCTCCAGGTGTTTTTATCTTTTTGTCAGTGAATATGATAAATTTTTTGGAGCCTACAGTACTTTTCACTCATCTCTCCTTTCTTTGGGTTCTATAGTCAAAGAGCAAGAAGTTGGGGAATTTTTTATGGGGACAAAGAAACTCCCGAAGGCATTAATTTTTCAAAGAATTCACGTAGTGAATGACTATTGCAAATTCCTGTCTAAGAAAACATTGCAGTCTATCAATCTGTTATTCCTTATAAATTTGGAACTTAAATATATTTTCAATTTTTAAAAATTTTATTTTGTATTTTTTGAAAGCTACTGAGATACTGTTTCTCCTTTCTCAGAAAAAGACACTTTTTAAGCTGCTTTAAGGTAAATTTTCAAAACAATTAGTGGGAGGTACATATAATAACCCAAACAACCAAGTTTTATATAATTTCATCAAGATGATGTGCATAAGGAAGCAAAGTATGGAAACATACCTTGTAAGTTCTACCTTTCCCTTTTACCTTAAGCACCATTTTGGAAATGTAGTTCAGAATACTCTTTCAAAGAAAGGAAAGACCATATTCCATTTTTTCATCCATAATAAAAGAATATAGTTATGAAGCTTCTCAAAAATAGCAAACAAGTAATGATTCATAGTTGCTTTTGCTTGCCACAAGTTGCTGTTCTACATGAACAGAGCATCATCCTCCTTCAGTGAATGCTGCATTACAACAGACCATTTCCTGCATGATCAATTATCCCATTATAGTCTAAAAACAAAATTAAAGTAAATCCAAACAGTATTAGGGTTTTGTGTATTTTTATAGAAAACAAAGCTGATAGAGTTTTCTCAGCTGAAATTGTAGCCAATACTTATAGAGTATAATATTGTTTACAACAGGTTCAGCCATTGCATTGCACTTGATTTTCAATGGATTAACTAAATGAACATCAACAGATTAAGTTTTTAAAATCAGTCCTTTGACTTGTTTAGAAAGGACTGGAATGAGTTCCAGGATTTTTTTTTTTTTTTTCTATAATAGTTCATTTTTAACATAGAAGTCAACTACAAATTGTGAAAACACACACTGTGGACTGTAGTGACATTCTTGTTAGGTCTGTGGTTATGGAAGTGGTAGGAAGGGGATACATGCAAAAAGAAGAGACTGGAAGTATTTCCTGCATGCCTGCATTGCCTAATTCAGTGTCACTCTTAAGTTCTCTCCAGAGGATTTTGTTGAAATATTTGAAAATCTGTGGATAGTAAAAGTCAGTCTTGAAGCATTTTTAGCACTTGTTGACTAAGTATCTTTTCACTACTTCTGAAATAAATTACTTTCAGTAATACAAAATTAAACAGGAGAATCATAAGGTAAATGCTCCATTTTTGCAGTTATTAATTCTGAAAGAGGTTCATCCAGAGGTTTCCTCTTTGTTGAAAAAATGGATTAGATTATGTAGGACCACCTTTTCTTCAGCAAATATCAATGAAGGAAAAGGTTTGATATCCAACTCTGGAAGAGAAGGGCCAACTTAGCTCTTGCACATACTGCTGTAAAGCTGGAGACAGTCCAACCAAACCATAGTGAAGAGCAGCTGATGGTAGATGAACCAAGGCCAAGTTTTTCATGGAAGCATACATGCATACATGCAGCAGCACCACAAATAAAACAGTATAATGCAGCAGGTATGTTCAACACTACAACAGAGTTTTTGCTTTGGATTCTAGATGTAGTGAAATCAAGCCACTAGCTGATGCAAAAGATCTGTGTAATTTTGCAATAGTGTTTATCTATTTGTTTAAGGAATTCTTTCACACAGTCTCTAGAAAAGCAAGTGAATACTTAATTCATATGTCACCCTGTATCTTCAGCTAAAATGCTCACTGCCTGAGTATTCCTGCTTCATTTTGCATAAACTGACATCATATACTGAAAGAGAAAGAGGGCCAATGTGCTTCTCAGAAACCAAGTAGTCATGAGACTTCACCTGCCACTACAGATATGCACATGTACACACATGCACACACACACACACAAACACACACAAACACACACAAACACACACATATACACACACACACATGCAAAATATAGGAAAAACGACTCAGCAATTGCAAGAGTCGCAATATACCATGGAAGCCTCTACTTAATATTCCGCTTGATCTGCCAAGTTTATAGCCTGGCAAATCTGAATACAAATGTCGATGCAAATGAGGATTCATTATTCTTACATCGTCTTTGTGTTGAAGCTTAATGTAACTTGGTTCCTGTGGTTGCTCAGGGAATGTAGATTGTGAGACAGGAGGAAAAAAAAGCCTCAACAAAACCCAGAGAAGCAAATAGGAAAAAGAAAAGTAACAGAAATGGAAATAAATGAAAAAAAAAAAATGCTAAGGTTTCAGACTAGCAAAACATCAAACCAGTGCATTACATTCTCCCTCTATTTTCTTATATAAAGTACATTTGCTTATCATTATCAGCATAGAAGGAGTTAACTAACCAAGACCATTCTCCACAGAGTCAAAACATAACAATCCTCCTTTTACTGATTATACAATATTATGCCCATTGTAAAGTCAGTGCCCCATTTATCTGAAAATTTAAACATTCTTTCATAATTATAGAGCTCATCGGCTGGTAGAACCTGTACATTTAGATCTGTGAGATTATAAATGAATTTAAAACCACCCCACCATTTCTGCTTCTTTCATTATAAATTACTGCTGAATAATTCAAAAACACGTTAAGAAAACTACAGTACGATTAATAAACTATACAATGAAAATCACAATAGTTTAAATCATACATTTATTGTCCCATTTATAGCCCATCACAAGCGAGGGTTGAAAAGTACCAAATTAGAGAAAACATTAAATGCTGCAAAATTATAATTAGATCCTCGGTGCCACACAGTACATTGTTCTGATGAATCTTTTGTACGGCTAGCTTATGCTTACATATAAATACCTTCTCAGTAAATAAAAATGTACTGTAGGCTTGACTTTTAGAGGAGCTGTAAAGCTTAGCATATGCGATGATCCCAAAGTCAATGCTGTAAGGCTTGCTTCTTCATCCATAAATAAAGCACATTTGCATCCATTCAGTCAAATTAGCTCCATATAAAAAGGTGGTTATAATTAGCTCCTCTTTCAGGTTCACGGTTAAAACTCAAGCGTGCCTGCCGTCTTGATTAAATCCACCATCGTCTTCCAATAGCTAGTGCTAATTCTTCCAAGGAAATATTCAGTTGAGGTGTTATTTTATTCTGCACTGCTGTTAGTTGTCTAATTTACGCCAAGTCCCTGCAGTGCTTTCCTTAAGCCATCCTCTTTGTCTTGCCTTTGAAATTTACCAAATCTTACAAGAAATCAATACTTAATTGATTATTCACTTTTCTGCAGCTTCAAACAGCAAGCACGCATAAGATCCTGGAGTAGTCACCCGATTTCCAATGCAGGAGGTTGCTTGGTGGCAGGGATCTGCAAGTATCCAACAGCAGGCATTCCACGGAGCTGTGCAGTGGCGTACAGTGCCAGCATCCAATAAAGAAAACGAAGATACTCTAACGAAGCAGGAAAAGTTCCCATGTGAGACAGATCCATATCAATGCTTTAAATAAAAATCGGAGGCACTGGTTTTCAGATAGAAGAGCACCATTCTCTTTGCAGCTATCCCTCTGTTCTTTCCTTACCCTTTTCTTCCTATGGCACTGGAGTGGAATATCCAAAGTGCCACCGAACTCACAGAACTCCACGTCGGAACGGGGGTGAGGCTCGTGCTGTACCTCTGACATAGAATAAGGATGGCAAGCACGTAACATTACGAAATGTAGGACAAATTCAGGCGAGAGAGAGAGAGGGAGAGCAAGAGACAGATGGCGGATCTGGCTGGGAGCCAAAGCCAGTGAAATGAATTACATTGCTGAATAACTGTACAACCATTGATTCTGCCACTTGTTGCTGCATGGCAAAAAAGGGCCCTGACGTTGGCAGGAATCTCCTTGCGTGTCACGCATGCCGCAGATAACTTTTCACACGTAACTCGCTGCACCAACACGCTACGTGTGTGTGTGTGAGAGTGTGTGTGTGTGTGAGTGCGTGTGCATGAGGGACAAAAGGAGAGAGAGCCAGAGTGCATGTGGGGGGTGTGTGGGTATGTGCCTGCGTGCGTGGTGTGTGTGCCTGTGCGCGCGCGCGCGTGGAGGGGAAAACAATCACTGCAATCCAGCCATTTTGTTTAATGAAGAATGGAAGGCTGGCATTCAGAGACGTGGTTATGTGCCGCATATTAATGTGCGCTCTGTAGACATCCTCCCCCTTTTTAGATGAGTGGCACAGGAATGAAGCCCTCTATAGTGCAGCCACCGTGGGAGCAGGAGCTCACAAGGTAACATATCATCGCCGAACCTACGGATGTGGCACCCGCCACTCCAAAGAACAAGTTGCTCTCAGATGAGGAGGAAAACCTGGTCCCATGGCTATGATGTTTGGGTGCTTTCGAAAAGATAGCCAGAATCGAAGCAGATTGTTCAATAAATGCTTCGTGCCCAGGATGAAGGGAGACATTATGGGATGCCCAGGGGGCTTTGGAAATCAAATACAATGTTTGAGTAGCACAATTTGAGGTACATTATAAAAAAGCAATTTGAATTGCCAATGAGGCGACACATATCTGCATGCTAATTAGACCTGTGTCAAGCTTAGTCTGCCGGGTTGTGTTGATGGCTAGGAATGCGCTTGTAACTCTGCTGAGAGATTGTTTCTGCATAAATTATCAGCTTTGTCCTACTGATCATTTTCTGCAAACAAACATGAAATGTAAGATCAAAAGGCAATTCTGAAATTAAAATTATTGATTGATAAAGCCTAGATTTCAGAATCTAATTAGAGGAGGCACAAACAAAAGCTGATATTATTACAGATTGTGCCTGAGCTAGCAGCCAGATTGTACAAGGCTTGTAATTTATCTTTGTTTATGCAGCCAGGATATTAAAAATGTAATTAAAATGGTAAAATGATCTGATCAGAAATAGCCACCTAGTGGCAAGTATATTATTTTAAATGGATTATAAAAACATTGATCTGTGCAAATAAAAGGTTTTTTTCATGACAAACATAGCAGCTCATTGAAATTTGCTGAGCAATTTGTCTTTTGCTAATAAGTTGTCTTTTGTGTTTTGTTCCATAGATAAGCAGCATCATTTATAACCCTCATTTGCACACTAATAAACATTCTGTTATTACAGGTGGTGTTGGGAACATCTTTCATAAATTATGGCATGTGAAAATGGAAGAAAACAATAAACGCTTTTCTAGACATGCTTTTCTATATATATTTTGTAAAATTAGAATATTCATCTGACAGCAGCAGTAGAAGTTGCTTATTAAATCACTCTATTACTCTATTGAAACTATGAAATGGTAGAAATGGTAGAAACAGTGTCAATATGTAATTCAACTTCTTGCCTATTTTTGGCTACTTTCAAATGCTATACAAAATACAGAGGGCCCAATTTACTAAGTTTGTGCAGATTCAATTACTAAATTTCATGGCTATAAAGAAGTCTTTGTGACTTATACATTTTTAACCTCATATAGTACCTTACTAGAGTTGCCACGAAGAACAGACTGTTTAATTGCACACAGTATAGAAGTGAGTTTTGAAATTTCTCTGCAGTTGCGAGCTATGGACAGTGAAATGGCCAAAGGAAGTTCTGTCATATATTAATGAAACTAGATTACAAAAAAAAAAAAACCCAGACTATAAACATTTTTTAAAGAAAAGATATTCAGAAGCTTGTAAGATCAGGAGCAGGGCGTAAGTCATGTATTTCTTCTTGTTTCAGATTTCCACATGAAACCACTATGGAAATGCTCAATTCCTTTTAAAGAAATTCACAATGTAGGGTCCTGTCAGCAGCTCTGGGGTCTTTTGTTAGGTGCACTTAAAATGCCAGATTAAATATTAATATGTGGTTAGAGTTGTGCTATTTTGCAAGCCCTGAAACCCTATTAGTAAATCATGATCTGGTGACTGATGCAAGAAATTTCAAGGCACCAAGACTGCAGATTGCCCATCAATCTGATGGATCACTAATTTTTACTAAATCAGGCCCTTGGACTTTTAGCTGTAAGCAGATGTATGTTTCATTGTGACGGGAAAAGCAGTCCAAATAACACAGCAATTTTCTGCACTGTATGTGTATCGTAACAGGCAGAGTTGTTTTGCATAATCAGTAAGTTATTTGAATACAAGTGTTCATTTAACTGGCTGTGCATGACTGATGCTGTTCTTGAAAAAAAAAAAAAACAAACCACATTTTGAGCTAGAAGAGAAAGTTGCATTATTTTCATAATAAGAGTAGTACTAGGATTTGAAAGCAGTGTAGTAGAGCTTCAGAAGGATGCTGAAGAGGAATGCCCGGGCAAAATCAGCCACATATTCTTACCCATCCCAAGGAGCTTTATCCCTTCAATAGCCTTCATCAACTACTGGCAGTAATTCATACACGCAGGGATGAGCAAATACCAGCAAGGATCCTGAAGGATCAGGTAAAGGAAAATGGATACAGAAGAAGGGGTGGGAAACAATTTGAGTAAAAATACTGGAAATACTATTAGATTATAAACTACTGATGCAGAGATGACATATTCATCCTGACATATGGCACACTTAGATACATACCTGAGTTGCAGCCTTCCTAACCTCTTTAGGAAAAAAACCCCACACCTCTGAAGCCAAGTCCCACTCTTTATTGGCAATCTTTATGTCATACAGATGAATCTTGACTTCTAGTTCCTTCTAATATGGATTTAAGCAACTGACTTAGATATTTAATAATTATGAAGTTTCATGTGTGCAGGTATTACCACCATAGCATATATTGCCTTCAAATTTATATCTGTCTTTCATATCTCCTCTCTCTCTTACTTTTTAGCAGTCTTCTTACACACATATGGAACTCAGCATTAGAAAGAGACCTTTTCATATCTTCTCTGCCACTGCTTCATAACCAATAATGAGTGGTACGGGTCTGAAAGACTGATAAGTTTTGCATGTATCTGTATCTTTCTCAGGTCACCTTCTTTAAACACGTGTACCCACTGCTTAAAAGAATTCTCAATCTTAATCTGAAATAAAACACAATGAATACATTCAAGGTTTTTTTATCAGATGAAGTCTACATTTATAAATATTTACAATTAATATACTGAAATCACAGCACATAGTATATGGTTTTGAAAAAAAATACAGTGTACAAGAATTCAAGGCTTTCCCTAGCTGATGGACAGCCTCAGAAAGTAGTGTTATTTTTGCTCTGGTTGCCATTTTTACTATTTTCAAATACTAAAGAATTAATTTTATTTAAAGAAAGCTATCCAAATCAATAGGCCTTCTGGTATTGACATTGTGAAGTAATATGCAGCAACACCAACCATTCTGAAACATTCCAGTGGGCTTTTAATGTGAGTGAGAGTCTGCTGGGAGCAGCTTCCCTGACTGAGGCACATGGAGGGTGTTCTAATTTCCACTAAGCCCTGATCAATGGGAATTTATTACCACTTAGACAAATAGAAAGCCAGACTGTGCAAAACTGAACTGCCTTGAATGCACAGCCCACATCAGAAAGATACATAAACATTAAAAGTAAAGCACAATAGTAAAACAATATGTGGACGTCTTTTTAGACCTCCTTTTCCAAAAAGCCAATGCTTTGCTACTACATCCTGTGAAAATACGGATGCTGACAGAAGAAAGCTTACACGTACTTAATGGCGTTCCAGAGCAATGTACGTATCATTGTGTCTGAACTGTAGTTCCTATTGTGCTCTGTGTTGTGCTCATGTGTTTACCAAATGTCAGAAACCTCCTTTACAGGCTATTAATACTATTGTGGTCCCTCCAACATGCACACAAATACACCCACTCCCCTCACCACACACACTTTCTCACTGTCCATCAATATGTTGCAAAGTCTGTGTTTCATTACCATATCATATGGAGTATTGATTCCTGTTCCAAGCTAAATAATGTTGTTTTTTAAAAGATCTTTTACCCTTTAAGTGGGGCTTGCTAACCGAACCACAGACTGGTAACAAAGATGTATTATAGTATTTGATATCCTATATACTTTGGCAAATGCCAAAACCAGTAACTTAGGCAGAAATTTCAATGCTTAATTCAAGTTTTACAAACAGGAAAATTGTGCACAATATCCAGTTACATACATTCCATGTTAAAAAGGGAAACATTCCTAATAGACCTTTCAACATAATAAGATTCAGGCCTAAGCAGTAAAGAAAATGATTTACCATTTTTATTAGGCTTCAACTAGTTTCCATACCAGATCTAAAAAGTCACCTTGCACCTATATAAAGAGGATTATTTATGTATTTATCTGTACATGTGTCCTCATCAGCCACTGTATACAATCATTTCATGGCATTCAGATTCAGCACAAAAACATCAAGGCCTAAGTACAAATATTATTACTATAATGGGTTTTCATTTCTAGAGGTCATCAGGGGAAGGGATTAATTTTGCTTGCTTTATTGTACACACAGAACAGCACACAGGGTCATATTACAATGCCTTTATCTGGAAAATCACATTCAGCTGTAATGAGAAAGGCTCTTCTTAAAACAATTTTACAATTTTGGGTGTATTAGCTGTATTTTATTTCATTTCTATATTGCTTTTCTTTATGCACATTTATTTCAGATATCATTAATTGATTGTTAGTGATATTTACAGTAATGATTTCAGGTCTCTTTTCAGTTTCTTGAGAACTCTTTTCCTTTTTAAGGCTCCTTTCATCAGTAGTGATATGAAAACATTTTGTATCTCTAGGTTTCTGAGGAAGTTTTTTGAAAATTGTATAGAGAAGTTAAGATCTGTTTGTCTTGACAAAAGTACTCCAAATAGATTGCATTTCTTTACAGTTTCTATATATTATACAGAAAACAGTCTTTGGCCAATAATTTAAAGACAAAAATTTATTTCCCCTTGCTTTCTCAGAGAACATCTTATTGAGAGGTATTATTTAAATGAGACAACAGCATTCTCATCTACACTGCATGAAACTGGTATTCTGCTACACAAGGAACTTCATTTTTGCTCAAATCATATGTTGTGAAGCAGGTTTTGTAAAGGCAAGGTCAGAGGTAGCAGGAAAACAAAAACAAAAGGTCATGTCATGCAATGTCCAGGTATAAACAGATGTAAACAGTATCCATTTAATGCATATGGAATTAACAGTCACATTTGAGCCAGAAACAGATGATATTTTTAGTCCATTTTCAACCAGTTTCAAAGCTCTGTGAGTGAAAGTCCAACAGAGCCAGGATAGGTTGCATATTCCTAATAGAACAAGACAAGATAAGAAAAAGAGAAAAAAAGATTAAATAAAATATGGTGGAAAGTGAGATGGGAAACAAAATGAGAAACTGAATAGAATCATTGAATACTGGGACCAAAATGAAGAAAAGGGAAAATATAATGCCTATAGCATTTCCTGTACGTCTTACAGAGATTATTCACTTGCACGGGCAAAACTTGTCCTTCTTTTAATATGGTCATTAAAACCTAATTTTGTTCAAGTTAGAAAACTTATTTTCCCTTGGTTTCCTCAATAGGGAAATAGAGGTAGACTTGAGACTACTGGGAAAATAGATTCACCAATGCAAAGAAGTTCCATGTATATTACCAGTTTTTGCATTAATATTATTTTGATTTATTTTGTCTTGGCAAAAAGGAGCTGAGAAGCAGCAGTGTCTGGAGACTTCAGTGATTTCAGAGGCCAAAACTGTCCATAAACCTTACAAAAGCACTGGAGAACTGCACAGGGCCACAACATTACTGGCAAGACAAAACCCATAATACCTAATGCACCCTCTTTCTGGCTTTGCAGATTAGCAGGGAACTCATTCTCTCAGACACTCTCACATTTTGGAGCACTGAAGATAGTCCTTGGCACTTGAGGAATACATGTGGAAGCATGCTGATCACTGGAATCATAAGCACAGCTGAGGGAACAATGCATCCTTTCCCCATTCTAGCAAGGACATCTCAGGGACTCTATTGACTCTCATGCATTGAGACTATTTCTCAGTCTGGCAAGGTTCCATTAAACCATGCAACAATTTTTTGCCATAATATAGCCAAACAAAAATTCTTATTGCTGTGTCAGACTTCACATTGTGTAACAGGCACACAAACAAATGCCTCAGGAGTATCTATCTGCTTTCAGACATAGCTATAACTATAGTTTACTCAGAATTGTCAGTACCTTTTTTATAATATATGTATAATAGAAGT